TCTACATAATCTAAAAACATGCTTACCATATATTTTTGGAAGGTGGCTAGTGCATTGCATGCTCCGAATGACATTTGTCTATAAGCAAAGGTGCTAAAAGGACATATGAATGTAGTTTTCTCTTGGTCTTCTAGAGCTATAGTAATATGAAAATACCTAAAATAACAATCTAAGAAGCAATAAGTAGGCACGACCAACAAGCCCTTCAAGCATCCGATCAATGAAGGGTAGAGAAAAGTGATCATTTCGGGTTACTACATTTAATATTCTATAGTCTATGTAAACCCACCACCCATTTTGAACTCTGCTGGGAACCAAGTCTCCATTCCGATTCTTCAACACCGTGATATCGGTTTTTGGGAACAACTTTGATCGGGCTAACCCTCGTACTATCCAAAATTGGATAAATCGCCCCGACTTGCAGTAGTTTTAGAATTTCTTTCTTTATTAATTCCATCATAGGTGGATTTAACCTTCGTTGTGGTTAGCGAATTAGCTTGGCTCCCTCTTCTAACAAAATTTGATGCATGTATGTAGAGGGACCGATTCCTTTCATGTCGGCATTGGTCCATCCTATTGTTGTCTTATGTTGTTTCGGCACATGCATAAGTCCGTCCTCTTATTCCTTCTAAAGCTTGCTTGAGATAATGGTAGGTAATGTCTTTTTTTTTTTAGGTAGACATATTTCGGATGGTTAGGGAGAGGTTTTAGCTTCAAGACTAGGGCTTGCAACACGGATGGTTGAAGTTCTTCGGTAGGTATTGAAAACTCAACATAAGATACGTTGTTTGAGCCTTTTAACTCCTCAAATTTGTTCATTTCAATCATGGCTTCTTGTATTTCGGATCCGAGTTGTAGCTCAATGTTTGTTTTCTAAAAGTGCTTACAATTGACTACCTATAATTCATCATCTCCATCAATTTCGAACACATCATGTGCTAGATAATGAATTATGTCAATCGAATACATAGGATAATGAACATCGTGGTATTTCATTATATCATAAATGTTAAACTTTATGATTTCACCATTAAACTCCATGGTCAAGGTACCATTGTAGACATCGATTTTTGTTCTTGCAGTTTTCAAGAAAGGCCTTCCTAACAAAATTAATGCTAAATTATCATCCTTTTCCATGTCAAGGACATAGAAATCGGTAGGGAAAGTCAGTTTTTCATTAACTTACACAAGTACATCTTCAACTACTCTTTTAGGATGAACAAGTGGATCTATCAACCAATTGAATAATAATATTTGTTTCTTTCAAAGGTTTAAGGTTAAGAGCGATGTATATAGAGTATGCAATAATATTAATAGATGCTTCTAAGTCTAGCATGGCCTTTTTAATATTAGCATTACCTATTATATATTAAATGCAAAACATACATGGATCCTTGCATTTCTCGGGAAGGTTTCTTTGTATGATTACCGAAACATTTTCACCCATTTTAACTTTCTCACCTCTTTTAAGCCTCTCGCTTTCTCTTCACGGTGTATAATTCTTTCAAAAATTTAGCATAGCGAGGGACTTGCTTAATTGCATCTAATAATGGAATGTTCACTACGTAATTTTGAAATATTTCATACAAGTCGGTGTTACTCTTAAACTTGTGAGTGGAGACTAAAACATCGGGGAAGGGAAGGGGGATTCTACATTCCTATGATGACGAAGACTTACTTGTCACTTCTTCCTTCTTTTGAGGGGCTTACTTTGCCGCCTCCTCTTCTTTGTTCAATGTGCTATTGTATCGATACAGTTGGTACCTTATTTAGTTGCTTTAACTCCTTTTCACTTTACAAGACTACCACACTCGTATTTTCTTTTGGATTCACCACTCGTTTACGAGGGTAAATTGATCGAATTTTGAGCTTCAATTCTATTGACATCATTGGCCAATTGACTCACTTGATGCTTCAAATTTTGAATGTTATTCTTTATCTCTTGCTAAAACTTCATAGTGTTAGTAGCTAAAGTTTTAACAATGTCTTCAAGAGATATACTTGAATCGAAAGTTTGAGCATGTGGCTACCGTCCGGGGGTATTGTTGCTTAAATGGTTGAATTATTAACGAGTTGATTCCTTGGGGCATTTCCATAGTGAAGATTGTGATGATCCCTCCAACTCGAGTTATATGTATTGGAAAAAAGATTGTAATTTCGCTGTGGTAGTCTTGAAAACCCACCTGTAGCATTTGTTTGTTCAAAGTTATCATCTTGGAGGGTTAAACACATGTCCATCGCATGTCCTACCACTAAACAAATTTCGCAAGCCTTTGTTATTTCTATTTTTCCTACTCGCTAATTGATACACAAGAGTAGTAATGTCATCAAAACGCTTTTCAAGGGAAAAAAACTTACTTAATTGACTCGTCGAGTGGCATAGTCGGTCCGGTTCCAAATTGCTATGTGTTTGATGCCATATTTGCTACCAATGTCCTCGGCTTATTTGGGTGTTTTGTCGACCAAAACACCACCACTTGCCGCATCAATCATGTTTCGATCTAATGAAAAAAGTCTTTTATAGAAATATTGAACGAGCGAACTTCATTTGTAATTTGGTAGCATGTGTAACTTGCATAGAGCTTTTTAAAATGCTCTCAATACTCATACAATCACTTTTCGTTTTGTTACCTAATGCCACAAATCTCCTTTCTTATGTTGGTTGCCCTTAAGGTTGGAAATAATTTCTCCAAAAACAATCTCTTCATCTCATGCTAAGTGTTGATACTCCCAAGCAGGTAGGTAATATAGTCGATCTTGGGCATCATCCTTTAAAGAAAATAAAAATGCCCTCGGCTTAATTTATTCTTCAGGGACTCCATTTGGCTTCATACCCGTGCACACCGTATGAAACTCCTTCAAGTGTTTATGAAGATCTTTATCTGCAGATCCACGAAAACTAGACAAAAGATATATCAGTCTAGATTTCAACTCAAAAGTGACATTGGCATCAAAATTAGGAAAGTTGATACAATGGGGTTGTTGATCCAAATTCAAGGGCGCAAGCTCCCTTAATGTTCTGTTCGCAGTTGCGTTCTTCATAGTTTCGAAGTTGTTCGTCGCTTCTATTTGCTTATGTTTTGTGATTTTTCTCGCTCTTCTAGTGGTTTTTTCAATTTTTGAATCAAATTGTAACTTTTCCCGAAGCTTTTAGATATTGTAACGTACATAAACAACTATGAATTCCCAAATAACGGTGCCAAAATTTGGTGGTGCTTGTCGCGTACACCCAAATTAAATTCCTAAACTCCTATAACACAAATGTAGTAAGGGAGGGTAAGGATCAATCCCACAAAGAGTTCTATTGCATTAGTCGTTACAAATCAAGGATAACCTAAATAAAGAGGGAGGGGTTTTGGAATCAATTGATATATAATCAAAACTAAACAAATTAAATTGAGAAAGTGAATGTAACGATAAATATTCAAGTAAAGAGCCTTGGTTCAAGTCATATTAGCTTTTGGAACATAAGATTTATCCTTGGTGTGCAAAAATATCAATTTATCATTCAAATATTTATTGTGATATGAAAATCATTCTTTCCTTACGATTAGCCAACTAAAAATATGTATTCTAATTAACCCTTATTATTTAAAAATCCTAGATACGATCTAAGATTTAATCAAATAATAGCCTTATGTATGAGAAAGACCAACAAAATAAGACAATACAATACATGTAGTGTATTTAATCTAGTTAAACAATCTTCCTAAGAGTTATTAGTTTCGACGCAATAAACCATACACTCCTAGTTGCTACAAGAATCAAAGGGATTGAACATTTACAGGTTCAATATTTAATCTAGCTTTAGATTGTATCAATCAATAAACTAACTCGGACATGATAGTAATCAACTTAAGCAATCATGAAAAACAAGCATGGAAGAAAGTTTAATACTTGAAATGAACAAAATGATTTGTATTAATGTTTAAGCACCTCAAAATCTTTGATTTGCAAAAGCCTCGATTATCTTTACCCAAGAGAAGAGGGTTTAGTTGCTCATGACAATATTAATGGCAACTGTCGAAGAGAAAGGAAGGAAATAAAGTCGACCATCTCTACAATGATAAAAAAAATGTCTACCTTATTCCGCCACGTTCTTATTTATATGGGTTTTCTATTTTTCAAAAAGGGTACAAAATCGTCATTCCTCTTTCTACCATCTCGTAAAATCCTAGTATATTGTCGTGTAAATTACAACAGAATTTGTCTTCTAGTTGAACTATGTTGTCCGTTTCTACTGGTCTCGAGCTTGCCCATGTCTTCATGCTCTTATGTGTGCCTATCTATCGCATCCGCGTGCCCACGCTATTACTCTTACTTGTGCTTTCTAGTGTCAACATCATTCTTGCTCGCGAATTTGCTCTTTATATGGCTCTTTTTAGCTCGTCCAATTCCATATTCGATGTATAACATGTAAAAAACAGCTTAAAGTCTAATATTTAGATACCTCAAACAATAAAATGCAAAGGAATTGAGCAATTAAATACATGCATTATGATCACTATCAATGTGTTTATGAGAAAAATAAAAAAATCATCGATTTTTTTTTTTTGAAATCCATGTCAACATGGAATTATTATTATTATTATTATTTTGAAAACAATCATTTAGATTGAGGGTTTTATTTAAAATAAAAAAAGGGATCTTGTACTACCTAATAGAAATGGTTTTCCTCCCATTACTAAAATACCCTAGTTAACTTTAAAGACTTGGAACCAAATTAAATTTTCATTTAAGCCGAGTCTAATTATAAAGAAAAGCTTGGATTTGTAGCCCAGTTGACTGGATACTGAGATGAACAAGGTGCTGGCCCAGGCCTTGCACACCAGTCCATGGGATTAGACCATCATTGTTCCTCCAACATGTTTGGAAGCATTATAAAAGCAAGGAAATTGGACTGTTCGGTTTTAATTCTGTCTTCTAAACAAAGCCCAGTTCTGTGCCTTGAAGTCTTAATTAGAACACTAATAAGACTTGAATGCATGTGGAAGATAAAATCATTGCCATTTAAGGTCTGCATCAATTGGACTATTGCAAGTTGTTTGACCTTTTGATCCATTAGACAATTTTCTATGTAACTCTGTGTGGATTGGGGAAGCGTGATCAGGCTCACCAGGCTGGGTAGGCCACAAAATGGGGACATGAAATAGGGTTTGAGAGCAAGCAACTCCAGAAAGAAATAGACAAGCAAACCATAGTTCATCGAAAAGCCTACGATTCCTTGGGAAGAATCACATGATTCGTCACCTCACTTTCATTTCGGAGATAAACTTTCCAATTCACACTGCAAAATTCCAAGGCACATGCCTTCTTTCGGACAATAGGAGGATTAGTTCAGCTGTTAGCATCATCAGTGTTCAGTAAAGTTTATCTTTCCTTAACAAGACCCTATGACCCTATTGGTCTCTTAGTATTGAATGCTGACGGAAGCTTTTAAAAAACACATGGCCCAAAATTTCTTTTACGTTGATAGCCAATAAAAACTTATTTGAGTTTAGTAAGTTACTTTGCCCTTAAGGACTCCTCCTCCATTATAGAGCTGCAAATGTGGCCCACGAAGTAACTTGGATGCGTTGAGATAGCTACTCAAAACAAGTTGTACGACATGAATGCCCATGGAACAGCCTAAAATTATTTTTTATGGGCATCGGGACAGCTCTATGGGAAGAAGCGGATTAATATACAAGGAAAAATAATTGTCTAAAAAAATCTAATTATTTTTAAATTTTAAGTCATTTGAAGTTAAATCTTTGAATTTTTTTTATTGGTTTTAAAGATTTTTAAAGTTTTAATTTTTTTAAAAAAATTTAGTCCTATCAATAATTTTCAAGTATCTTTTTTCTTTCTAAAAATTTTAATTCTTGATATATTAAACTGAAATTTTGTATGCACGCTGAAAAAATTTCAATTTATTTTGTAAAAAAATTCTAAAACTTTTTTTTAAAAAAAATATTTGTTTCTTTCTTTACCATTAAAAATATAGAAAAATCAGAAAAATATAAAATAATATCAAAATAATCCCTAATTTTTTTGAGAAACCGCATATAAATCTCACCAAATTATTTTTATATAAAATTATTTATGTAATTATTTTTTTTAAGATAAATGATAAAAAATTGAAACATGGGCTAAATTTAAAAAAAATTAAAAGTTTAAAGATCCCCAAAACCTTTTTTTTTTTTTTTTTTTAAGAATTCAACTTTAAATGTCTTAAAGTTCAAAGATTCTCATATCCTTTTAGCCAAAATAATTCAGAGCACAAAGACTAAATATATATATATATATTTTTTAGTCCGGCAAATATTCTGGGGCCGTTTGATTTGTATTTCAGCTCAGTACGTATTTGAGAGCATATATATTAGTAAATCAAATTTACTCAAATTTTGGAATTTGAATGAATGGAAAAGGGAATTGAACATTTAGCCAAGCATGCAGTACGTACCAGTTCTTTAAAAGCAACAATAATAAGAAAGTGGAATCACCAAAAAACAGAATTAATTTACTCCAAAATGTATGTAGATATATATTCCCAAAACCTTTTATAAACAACAAAATAAATATACAAATCTTACAAGAGGGGGAAAAATAACTACAATTGAACACTAGTTGCACTCTAAATCCTGGATTGAACGGCTATTCAAATTCAGATTCATTCCACAATTCATTACTGCAGTCCTCTTCTTCACAATTCCAAACAAACGAACTTCTCCTTTCAACTTGGCATAGCTGTTCAGCTTAACATCCCAGAATTGATATCACTACTTAGGTTTTTAGCGTCAGACAACCAACCTGATGACCTAACATTCACATCAGTATTCATCCTCTTGGTTTCTCTAGCTTCAATCCGCCCGTTACTCAATTTTGTTTCACCAACTACCGTGCCCTTATATAGAACACTATAACTAGTATTCTCGAATTTGAACCGATGAAAATTTGAGTTCTTGATACTTACCTCAGCTGCTAGTGTCATGTTGAATGAAGGGACTGGACTGTTACCATAACTTAGATTTTCGACAGCGACCAAGCTTAATTTAAGATCAGGAGTTCTTGGCATCACAAATAGTGCAAAAACTAAGATGATTGCGCTGAGGATGACAATTAAACCAAGAAAACATACAAAACATTTGCCGCTTCTTTTTTGCCGTAACGCTTTGGGTTGTACCGTGGCATACTCTTCATCGCTTCTCCGATGAAATTTAGCCGGTGCTAATGGAACAATTTGATTGCCTTCGGACATATTGCTTGAGCTTTGCATAAGAGGCTTGATTTTTGTTCCAAGTTTTTAAGAAACTGAGTCTCTTGTTTTCGCCCTATAATCCGATGTATAAGTACTCGTATGTGGCATGAATGTTGAATCGCCTTTTATTATGTTATATAGTAGCAGCATGGAAGGGAGAAGGCATCAGCCATTCAGCCCTAGGACGTGGAGGCTCCATTATATGAACTTGGGAATTTCTTAATTGGGTTATTCAGGCTTTCCATTCCCTTTCTTTTCTTTCACATTCGGAAAGAGAATGATTTTACACTCTCGAAGTGTTTTACACGGAATTACACGATATTATTAAACTTAGACCAAGCGTACCATACATGCCTAAATTAATATTGTTAACTAAAAGAGTTTTTTTTTTTTAACTTTTATTTTAAATTCTAGATAATAATGTGAGAAAAAAATTATTTATCAATTATCAACTAAATTCAGCTTAGTAACCAGATTGATAAAAAAATATTTTTTAATATCATTTAAGAAAAATACTTAAATTTCAATTATTGACACATAAACTAGATTAAGAATTCTTTACTTTCGAATGAAGAAAAAACAAATCAACGAAGTAAATAGTTAACTAGGCCAAAAAAGAAAAACAAAAACAAAAACAAAAAAAACTGATCGAAACGAAACAAACGGTGAGTTATATGTGACAAATCTTAAAAATGGTGTTTATCAACCGTGCAATGCAAATGGTCACGTAGTCAAGTGAAAACAAGTTGCTTAGATATTAGATGAGAGTAAACAAATCGTGAGTATCTTTCCTTGTTCTTAAGACAACATGGGCTTGAAACAAGATTACTTGAGAGAAGGGCCCAAGATTTGACAATATTTGGTACAAGCTATATGGGATAAAAAGTTAAACCCAAAAAGCCTAAACTGAAACAGCCTAGATTAGATTAGAGCCTAACCCAACCCATAATATGCAAATTGTTGAGACTGATGGGCCATCTGCTAGCAATGATCCAATTGACCAGTAGCAAGGTCAAATTACTATTTGACCTTATAGAGAAATGGTGAATTGGTGATGCTTCTAAAACACTTGCTTGGTAAGGAACAGAAAGAATAAAAATTCCTCATTTTTATAAGTGTTGGTTGAAAGAAATTAACTGCAAATGAAAATAATGAGAGGAAATAAAAATGATAGTTTTATTTTCATACAAAGAGGTGAGTATAAAAAAGGAATGCAAATGAGATTTTTTTTTTCCCAAACTAGTGATATATTATTATTTTTTACTATCATCATCATCACAATTTTCTATTTTTGGTAACAAATTCACAAGTCTAAAACTGAAACTATATACTATAGTAAAACCAAATAGCTTGTAGTTAAGTGATAATGAATTTTTGTAATAAGAGGTTACGGGTTTAAATCCAAGCAGTACTAGTTCTACTATGACTATTGAGTGTGTGAGTTAATAAATAAAAAACATGTACACTATAGTACAAACCTAAGATCTCTAACAAATCCTTCTCCCATTCACCTTAATTAGTTCTCAAAAACAGCTAAATAACAACTGAGGTCTATATATATATATATATATATATAAATGATTCTTAATGGAGTTGAAGTTATAAAAAATATAATTTCATTTTATACCGGAAAGGTTTAAATTTTTGTAGGTATCATTACTGAATTTTTCCTGCAATGAATCCGGGGGAAAAATCTTTCTAAATTTATATCTTGCAACACTGACGTTTAGGTGCTACATGCCCAATTATTAATGATGTTAAATTATTAGTGCTTAGTTAATAGGATTTCAATGCCAGAAAAGTAATGGCAAAGTACATCAAAGAACTAAACCAATTAGTGAAATACTTTATTCAAATACTATCAAGTATTACAGTTTCAACCGATACAAAATCTATTCCTAACAGCAAAGACCCCATTTACTTTCCAATGGTAGCCCTAATATTTAATACAAAACTAATAGCATTCCTCTCATCAACACCTATATTGACCAAGATATATGAAAACAAGAAAAAGGAAAAATAAAAAAGAAACTATGAATATCATTTACATATAATTTCCATATTCTAATCGAGTGATCAATTTCAATTTCACATGGTTGACTCCTGCCATCCGCATTGACATTCCAGAAGGATTCCCTGCGCCCCACTTATAGGAAAAGCAAATCGTAATACCCTCAACTTCCTTCAGAGTCCACAAACTTAACTCAAGATTCTCCCTTTCGAAACTGTCCTCTTCTGCCCACCTATGAATATCTAACAAACATGCATGGCAATCATATCGTTGTCAAATTATATCAACCTGTCCAATGCAGCTGTAACCCACTCTTGCTCTAAGCAATGCGACTTTTACTTCCACTATCCACTTGTCACCTCTCAATCTGGCTTATAGGTTTATCATTGAAACCTTTAGCCATCTCGCCAGCCAGAATAACTTTTCTGGCTGGGCTTGGCGTACCAATACATTACCACGTATTTCTGTACATCTACATCTTTCTTTCCCTCTCCTTATCCTTTTCTGCCCAAGGCTGTACAAATGTTTCATTGGCTTATTACAAAACCTTTTATTTTGCAGCTGGTGGGGGTGTTAGAGAAGATGTTTGTGGGAAAAAAAGTGTAGAGTATATATATATATATATAACCCCCTTGTTCGCTTAGAAATGCTCTTTGTGGAACTCAAACTTTGTGGTACTTTTTTGATTGAAATCATAGCAGAGCTTGCTTAATTCTTTAGCCAAGACTGGTGCCCCACAGTAAAACACTCCTGCTCCAAAACCATAGTGATATGTTTAGAGCAAAATGATAGGTTCTCTTTAAAAAAAAAAAAAAAAAAATCTGTTAACTAGAAGGTATACTCGGTACTCACCTATCCTTGCATTACAGTGCTTGGAGCATAATTTAGAAAGAACCTTCTTCCAATTAGGCCTAGCAAAATGCGTTCGCACCTAATGAAATAAACGAAGAATTGTTAGTATACCAGCATAGTCAAATACTTTATTGCATTATTGTCACTTGTCTGCACAGAAAGTAACTTGTGTCTGACTGAAGTGTCGGAATTTGAAAAAGCCCCACTGATACAACATAGGAGCCACACGACGAACATGATGGAAGCCTGAAACAAAAAGATTGGTCTTACCCTGGTGCCAGAGACAATGTCCACCCCGTTTTTCGCATGGTTTAGGGCTTGGACCATGGTAATTAGGGTTGATCGGGCATCGCCTTCCTCATACACACTGGTCAAGTAATTATGCATCTCAATCACACCCTGGATAGTCCAATGACAAGTCAACAATCAAGGAAACCGAACAAAATGAGAAATTTGTTTCTAATTTACATAATTTCAAGCTAAAATTGACATTACTTACCCTTTGATCAAGCTCTGCAACTTCATTCATGACTCCTTTGAACCAATCAAAAGAACCCTGCTCCCTTGTTACCCAATAAAAATAAGCATTTGTGGTCCTTATATCCTTCTTACGTTTTGGAGAAAATTTGTTAGAGCTTGGAGTATCATTACTTCCAATGCTCAGGTCTGATGTCCTACTGATATCCGAGACCGAATCCTGAAATAGGAATCAGACTTGTGACTGTGCATTTAAAAGGTTATCGTGGATTAAGAGACATCCTATTTTCTATTATCTGCCATACAGAATCTATAGTATAAAATGAAAGCTCATATGTATACAATGCAGATAGGAAAAGTGAAAATCAGGTTCTAGTCACTTACTGCCTGCTCCTCCATTTTGACAATGTTATTAAGCAAATCTTTTAGAATGCTGATGAAAGGTGTTGCTCCAATTCCCAAACCAACAAGCAACAGCACATCATATTTACGATAATCTTGTGCTGGTGCACCATAAGGCCCATCTATCAAGAGCTTTGGCAAACTGTCATTAGAGAAGAATGTTACATGAACAATATAGTCACAAAATGCTATCCAAAGGAGAAAACGGAATGAGAAACGAAAGGGAAACAGAGACATATTCTGTACCTTTTTTTCGTGGTTTCATCTGCCCTGAGAAGTCCACTCTTACCGGCTACAGGACGTTCACAGGCTTCGGAGAATACCCTTCTTAGTTCTTGAGTCCAGTCACCTAGCTGCCGAATGTGAACACTGAGGTAGTCATCACCCGGCGCGGAGGTAATTGAAAATGGATGCCTGGGTGGAAAATTAAAAGCATGCCGATATTAAGTTGCAGAGAAGATCAGGTATCAGAGCAAAGAAACCAAACACCATCAGTGGTATCTATGAATCAACGGTTAGAAAAGATAAGAAACAAATTACTGATTCCTACCAAATTACCTTTTCATTCTGGATTAAAAAAGAATTACCTTTTCACTAGCTTTCACCAGCAAATTAAAAATAATCACACCGAAATAGTTACCATTATTCAAGTATTGGACAAACAACTTTCTCTGCTAGACTAAAGCTGAAAGTGTTAAAAACTACCAAAAAAATGCCATGTATTGTCATGTGAGTTAAGAAATTAGAAGTGACCTACCACTCAAATGGAGAAACAGCAGGGCACTGGACAAACATGTACTGTCCGCTCTTGTATCGGAATTGGGGAGGCTTAGACATCTGCAATGTGAGAACATTTCCAGGATAAATTGCAACCTGAAAACAAAATAGAATTATGAAATTATCACAGACAAAAATCCAGTACATTAGGTTTTAAACTTCACAGAACTGAGCCAGGTTATAGGGCTGTTTAAAAATGGTCCCAAGTAGACATAAACCATAAGATCGAACAGAAATGGCCGAGGTCTTCAGGATGCTGTACCTTAAGTAGCCTGACAGTATAGAAGCCAGAACGAAAAAACCTGAGAGCCCTTTCTCCAGCGTACAGTAAAACTGGAACAGAAAGGTACATCCATGTCTGCAAGCAAGAAATCGCCATCATTTTACAATCTCAAACACAGAAAAACTATCACTGCCATTATAATTACCAAAGAAAAGATTTCTGATTCATACCGTCTTTTTGTACCATTTATGCACCAAATACAGGGCTACACCGTGGATGATGAGCAGGATGTAGACAATGACAAACAAGTGGTGTGAATACCAGAATGCATTGAATCCAGTAAGCCTGTCAAAGGGTTTTGGAAACTTAATGAGGCTCCTCCTGAACCATCTTGTTGCAAGTGTAAATGCAATGGCCATGCTGATCACCATTAAAATTCCGGTCACACCTTCAGCCCCTCTGGCCAATTTTGCATATGAAGGTTTGTTTCCACCAAAGTCATTACTCAAATACACCCTATAGGCACGATCAGATGAATTTATAAGTCTTGGAAAATCACAGGTTAAATGGGTTCCAGCATGGAGAATCACACCAATTACAATTGCTGCTGCTATGGTCTGCATGAACGTGAGAAATAATAATAAATCAGATTAATTTACCATAAGTAAATTAAATAAATTTCTAAAAAATGAATTGTGATTTCTCGGTGTCATTTGCACAACATTAATATTGATTTAAGGTTGACTGAAAATTTCATCTTGAATCTGTGGTAAATCGCTTTGAAACAGTTCTGAATTTGTTCTTTTATTTTATAGCGCACAGAGTAATTGGGGCTTAGTTAGGATAAGGAGAACTTTTAAATGATGAGAGTTGATATAAAAAAGAAAGAAAGAAGATTTATGTATTTATTCGCTAATTTTTAGTCTTTATTAAACTTGAAATTAAAATACTTATAATTTTTTTTTATCGGATATAATAATTTTTTTTATTTTTTTTTACCATAAATAATGAAAAGGATGGACCGGAAAATTAATGGATGAATATGTAAGCTCTCGTCTGGACCACTACTAAAGCATCTTAAAACTTATAGTTTCACTATTTTTTTTTCATCCAATAAGTTTCCGGTCCATTCTTTTCATTGTAGAAATGGTCCTCCGCATTTGACCATCTCTTCTGAGTTTAAACCAAAAAAGAAAAAAAACAAATAGTAATTTATTTGGGCGAAATGTATTCTTTGCCAAAAACAACTTTAAGCGAATTAGATACTTTTTAACAATAAAAAAAAAAGCGAGAAAAAGAAATTAGATCCACCCATAACAACCAAAATAATAAGAATAAGAATTTGGTTGACTAATAAGTTTTTGTTACAGCAAGCTGGATTGTTATTATTATTATTATTTGTGGTTATTTTATTTTAAATTCCATCTTAGTCAACAAAATTCATATTTTGTGGTTAGCAATATCTAATAATAATAATAAAAGAAAAGAAAAAAAGGAGTATGAAAGCCGATTAATTGTCAACTATTGCTGCCTGTTGAAGTATTGTACCTGATGAATCTCCCTCGTTCCCGCTATTTAGGTACTAACAATTTATTCTATTTTCGTGGCCAAGATCAACCAATATATTGGCATTCTAGCAAAGTCTCCCATACGGATGTAAACGTATGAAATAAGCAATACTGACAAGAAAAGGAGAGGGGGTTGGTGAAGTTGTACATACCTTGTGAAAGTTGATGTTGTCGTCAAAAGGCACCAAGTGACCCAACCTTGTGGACCTAAGCCAAGTGATAGTATTTCTACAAACAGGCAAGAGGATTAGAGCCATATTGAATTTCAATGTCTCTGCTGCACCTTTAGCTGTTAGGAGACAATAACCCATGACTTTAAAAGCATTTTTTTGCTTGTATTGAAAGAATTTCCATGTGAATAATCCAATCATGATCGTAACCCATAATGTCAAAACCCATATTCTTCTCCAATTCTCTTGAAAAAAGTATACGCATTGCTTGCCCACTCTCCTTATTGGGCTTCTCTTTCTTATCCCTTGTAAATTTTGGCTCAAGGCTTGGCTTGTGTAGCTTAGAGCTTGACTGTAGTTCAGATACGTGTCTTTTTGTAGAAGAAGTGTCTCTAGTTGCCACAGCTATATATCATTTTCAGCCAAAACAAAAAAAAGTTGCATCAAAATCATGAGCAATGGAATTATACTAGGGGACAAAAGAATCTTGATCATGTCAACTTGTTACACTACAATTGATGCAGAATGTAGCACGCGTTATGCATAATGCATGAGTGAAGGCTAAGCATTATTTGAGAGAAATACCGTTAGCCCACATGGGCACCCAACAGTGTCTGTCAGGTTCAAACTGTGGCAGGAATAACAGTTCAAACTATCAATTTTTAAATTAAAAGGTGTTGGTCATCGATGCAGTACTTCTGATACAGAAAATAATAACACTTAGCCTTCATATATTCAGATTAAATCCTTTCTTACTTGGATTTAAAGGAAGAAAAAATAAAAAATTCTCACACCATCCGAATGAGCCTCTAGGGTCCATAAAAAAATTGGAATGATAAAAAGTTCATGATTTTAGAAATCTACAAAAGGTTAGTTCCATTTTGACAATTAGAGAAACCACAATACGTAATTCGAAAACGAATTGGATAAAGAATCAATATTAACCGTACTAAATTGAAGAAAGGTGAATAAGAAAATCTTGAACTAGCTAGTTAATGACAGTGACAATTGTGTTAGATGATGACAATTCACCTTAAATTTTATGTTGAATTTTTCTTGTAATGTTAGTTTTGGCACTAAAAACATTTGAACCAGCTTTGCCACAGAAATTGCATACCTCTACTTTTTTTCAACCTAACTGAATTGACATTTTCGTACAACATTAATGAATCAAGACAAGCTTTGTTTTTGTTTTTTTTTTAAAGCTTTCTTTAAAGTCTTGGATGCTATAACAGACGTGCATATTAAAGTAGGAAAGACTGAGAGCCAGCGCACAACAGTGGGAGCTGTTCAACTACCGCAAATATTCTTCAACATAAATAAGCTTTGCTTAACCAAATTTGTTATGCCATCTTTTAAAAAGATCGCTACCTCTCTCTTCTTCCTTCATTCTTTCTTCGTGCACGGTTCAACAACATTGTGAGCAGTACGATTTGGTAAATTAATTTGTTAGTCTTTGTTGCCTAACAATGGACTTTGGAAGAAGAAGTCTAATGCAAGTATTTTATTTTTTATTTTTTTATTTTTTTCTTATTAATTTGGACTGTTATTATGACCCAAAACAAGAGAAGGGATCAAATTTGACTCCGATAAAACAAATTTAGTTAAATAATGCTTGGAACCTAATATGAAAATGAAATCATATTAAACATAAATATTATATTAAGCCCACCTAATTTATTCTAGAAATCACTGTAGAATTTCCTGGGATATACCAAGCAAACATTTAAAACACGAAACAATATTTTCAAATTGAAAAAGGACCCACCTCGATGTAGCCAAGTCTTTCTGGGTCCAGCTCTTCCATGATCAAAGCTGCATACTCCTCTGCTTGTTCTTTTAATCTCGATAACTTATTTGCAGATGCACTCAGCATGATAATCTACTCATTTATGTAAAGAGAATATAAATTAACGATAAAATTGGAAAACAAAAGTATTTACAGCCACTAATTTGAATCTCTCATGCAAATTAAAGATGGTCCAAAAGGCCCCCACCAACCCCACTGTAAAAATCGCATGAAAACACTTTTTTTTTATGAGGAGGTAAATTTGGAAAATTCAAGATGCCATCTGTCAACGTCAAAACTCTTAAAAGCAAGACCTAGTTCATTAAACCGTTGAATAATGATCATCAACATTTTTATCAGTCTAATTATAGATAGGATGCTTGAGAACATGGGAATTGCGTCAGAGATCAAGAAAAAATTGAATCATGTCTATTCTATTGGAGTAGTTAGTTTTAGAATTTTCATGAATTTAGGGTCACCGAATCCTCTCCTACTTCGTTCACAATATTTATTTATTTATTTTCCAACTAAAGAGTGTAGGCAATACTCTTGATATAAAGGGTCATGTTACTCATGTATTTTGGACTTAATTTTTCTAGCATTGGTGAAAGGTCGGCTCTTATTTTATTTACACAAGAAACTGACAGACTGTCGGCTAATTCATGCACGTCAATTTAAAATTAATCAGTATAACTTGTTAATCTTAATATTGTGAGAGACGTGATTATAATATAATAAAATTTGGAGTACCTCCTTCACTTCTTCCTCGGTGATTCTACCATCTTCGTTCTTGTCCACCCTGTAAACATAACAAAAAAGGTTAAATATAAAACTATGTAAATTCTAAATCAGCGAACCTAGCTACTTGAAAGTGCATAGGTTTACCACCTAGCTTAATCACTAATTTAAGATTAATTACATAAAATAATATTTCAATGAATAATGATAAAAATAAATAAATAAATTGAGAAATATTGTTTAATCGTTTTTTTTTGTATAATTGGGATTAGAGGGAAAGACAGTTTTATCCTTTATTTTTTTTAATCATTTCTAGTAGGAAAAATTATTACACAGATTAGATTCCTATAGACCAAAACTTGTTGGTTCCACAACTCAAAAAGTCTTTTCTTGCATGCTCAGTGAGATATTTAACGAGCATAATTAAAAAAAAGAAAAGAAAAGTGAATTGATTAATGAATAAAATAAGTCATTAATTTAGTTTAATTATATTTTATAGTACTCCATAATAATGCGTACATATCAAAGAAGATCTGGAGTCGAGAATCAAAGCTTTGATCGGTAATTTGAGACCAGAACTCGTAAAGCTCATCTCTACTAATCTTGTCCACTTTCAATCTTCTTCTCCTTCCCAACGCATCAAAAAGCTCTAAAGCAAACTCCTTCGAATCTTTCATTCCTTTAAAAACACAAAACAGCATTTGTTTCAAAAATTAATTTTCAAGACTTGATAAGTACTGCTAACGTAAACTATATATTTACTGCACTTACATTTTTTATTCATGAATATTGAAATCCAAGTAAGAAAAAAATTAATTTAGACTTGGTTCTTGAAAGCCTGTAGATTACTAAAACCAAAAGAAAATAGAATTCGGAAGAGAATCAAACCTATGCATTGTGCAAAATCGGCTCGGTAAAGATAACCATCCTTCGCAAGTTTCTCAAAATTGCTTTGAACCTCATTCCATGCGTCAACACCATTGGTTTTTTTACTGTTATTACTTATAAATTTCAATCCACGCAAAGCTTTATGAGCACCAGACCGAGTACGGTCCAGCTGCGCTCGCTGCTTTCTCAAAGCACGAGCAGCTAAAGCTGACTCAAAACCACCACCACCATTATTTGCTGAAGCTGATAACACCCGAGCAGCCTGTCCATGACTCCAGGAAAACCTCCTTAACTCAGCTTTCAACTCATGCGAAAACTGCTTAGCTTTCGCTACAGCTTCAGCTTTTAACTCCTGAGAAAATTGCAAAAGCTTATTCGACGAACTCCTCCTGATAGTCGGCGATCTTGACACGGGAGTTACAGCCCCGGCCGACACAGAACCACCGGCAGTAAAGGAAACGTCATCCACGTTGATAACCGTTGATGTCGCTGGCTCGACACTACGAAGCACAATAGTGTCGTCATCTTGTAAATCAAGTGTTACCTCAACAAACTCCTCGCCGGAATCAGTTCCCGGTGACGTTCCGGTGATCACCGTTGCATTGCCGGGAACTGTGTCTGAGGCCCATCTCCGCTCATGTTTAGGCAATGAAGCTCTCATTGATTTGGTGAAAAGGATTTTAGGTGAAAATGTGGAAGGAGTGATGAAGTTTTAAAGAAGCGGAGGAGGAGAGGAAATGTTAGTATTACTAGTCGTCGTCGAAGAACGCGTTGGGAATCTAATGGAAAAGACATAAACACGCGGAGTGCTGTGCTTGCTCCTGATCTTCTAGAGAGAGAAACTATATAAAAAAAAATATCTCTCTAGAGAGAGGAAATTTGAAGAACAAAAAGGCAAAAAAAGACAAGTTTTAATAATTCTGCGGGTCTCTGTAAGGAATGGAGGCAAGAGAGAAAGAATGACTTAGAATTTATACCGAATGGGATTGTATTTTGAGTGCTCTGTGACCACTTATGCTAGGAATAGGAATGGTTTTGTCTTTCTCTTTTATGTAATACCTCGCGGTCTGCTTTTCTGATTTTGCGATCAGTTTTTTTTTTTTTTTGGCATAACGCGTTTATACTGGGAGAGAAAGAAAAGGAGCTGTGGAGCTAGAAAGATAAAGAGAAAGAGGGGGGCCTTGAAAATGAGAGGGGAAGAGAGAGAGGGGGTGGGTGGGCATTTTAGGTTTTTAATTTTATGGGATTGTTTAAAGCCAATTTCTCGTACACATAATTTTAAAGGGTTATAAAGAAAAATGATGTAATTCAATATTTTAAATTTTTTTTTTAGAGAGTACTAACGATCTTTTTGACACTTTCTTTTAAACATTTATTTAATAAAAATATCTAATACCATATTATGTGAAAAAAATTAAAATATCTCTTATTTATTTATTTATCTTTAAAATTATGTGAAAAGATTTGATATAAATATTAAAAAAAATATATGTTAGAGAGAGAGAGTTGCCAGCACTCTGTTTTTGTTTGTTGATATGATTGGAGCTGCTATACCTCATACTACTCCAATGTAATTTTCTTTTGTGCTTTGGTCCGATTTTTACCCAAAAAAAAAAAATTCCAGGGGATAGAATTGTTAATCAATAAAATTTTATTTTTATTTTGAATTTAAAACTAGTATTGGAAATTTTTATTTTATTGAATATACTGAAATAATATGAAGATATATATACAAGAGCGTTTGAAAAGGTTAAAAACTATCTTTTATGTTGAACCGAAAAGTTTACCTTCTCTTTTTATGTGTGTGTGTTAAAATGTTTTTTATGTTCAATAAGATTTAAAAACTCAAAAGTTTTATGTTTTCACCTTCTGATTTTTTGCTTCAAAATAGTTTTCAAAACAACTTTTAGAATTTTACCAAACATCTTTTACATTAATTTTTTTTTTTTAAAAAAAAGCCCTAAAAGTCAGAAACTCGTAGTTGCCAAATCAGCACTTTTGTGTGTGCGTGTGTGTGTTAGGCGGAGGAGGGAGTCTATTGTTTTCTTACTGTGGTCAGATTACGTTTCAATAGAGATTGACTGTTTTTCATTGAGGTAGTTTTTCATCTATTCAAAGATGCTTTTGGTTAAAATCAAAGACTCTTGTTAAATTCCTTTTCCGAGATAGATAGACACACAAAGTTTGAAAATGTTTTTTATAATAATATTTTAAGCGGCACGCAAAAAACTTGTAGAACAATTTAAACATATTTCAAAACTGGAATTTCATTTTTATATTGGAATTCGATATTAAGAAAAAAAAATATATATATATATATCGAATTCAAACATTTCGGCCCTCGACCAGGCCCAAAGTTGATTAATTCATGATCCGTAGTACCGTCTTTGGTTGAGAATGCTATTCAAAGACAAAAGAAAGTTGTAAAGAGAACCTTAGAGAATCAGACATGAAGAAAATTTATGTGGATGATTTTATTTTATCGTGCAAATATGCGAGTCTGCATGGTATAGTTTCATTTGAAAGTTACTTGTCTAATTCAAGTAAAATAGGATGAAATTCCACTTTGTTAACTTTCATGGATTGAAAGAATCAATAATTAGAAGAGCAAGAAAGCTGAAACCAGACGAAAAGAACAGAGAGACAAAATGTGTGAAGAACAGAGAGGAAAGTTTTTATTCTCATTAATTCGATTCTGTTACAATTAACAGTTTCTATTTACACAAGGAAGAGAAAAACTAAATTAACTTAAAAAAAAAAAAAAAATTGTAAAATGGCAAGCAACCACATCACATACTCTAATTCACTTAGCTTCACACTAAAGTGAAGGAAAGTTATTGCTTTTATGTAAAACAAGAACCAATAGAACAGTAGGGCGCCTGTTTTTTGCCGGTTTAAGAAATTGTTTAGCATGTCTATTCCTGTTATCCATAGCATATCCCTAAGGTTATTGATTACAACAACGTACGGCAATTCCAGCAGATTTTTTTTAGATTTTGCAAAATATTTAATTGCACGGACCAGCTTAAGATGTGCTAGCTTGAAAAGTTTTAACATATATAATTGGCAAATTTTGACTACAATGAATGTGTTGGTCTATAAGAGGTGAAAACCCCCAATTTACCAAAATTTTCTTTCTTCTGTACACAACACAGCGTCATCATACATATGATTATGACCTTAAATCAATATAATGCTTGAAATTTAGGCTTACTAACTGACAATATTATCTCGTAATTTTGGCATGAGTACTTACAGTATCAATCACATGTAAATTAATTGATTAAGTTCCATAACTTAGACGTAAGGTACACCTAATTAAGTACTCAAGGAATAAATTTGAGACTATATTCATTTATTATTGCAAATCTGATAGGAGTGGAGATAGAGATTAATTGTTTGTTAGTCACCTCTCAAGCGAGAAAAACAATGACGTACCCAACCTCGTAAGATGTAATTGTGAGTGCAATTGATCAATCATTTGACTACAATAGTGAACTTAATTTTCATTTCTAAGTTTAACGTTCCTTCTTCTAAAGAAAGATTAATACAGCCTACCCAAACAAGTAGCTATCTATCTAGCTTGAAGGGTCTATACCGGTACAGCATTAGAATTAAGGGTGACAGGTTTGCGAAGGCAACATTCATCAAACAAGGGATACCTGGGGTGGTTGCTGAGAGATGAAGTCTGAACCTCTCAAAATGTTCAGCGCACACACCATATGCTTTAAAAGCTTCATTTGCTTTTCCAAATGGACCGCTAGCTAGCGCTTGAGAAATCATAGCAGTTGAAATTGTCAACCTAAGACATGTTGCATGTTGTTGTTATCTTTGTTTATAGAGGTTGTGTATATGAAATAGATGTTTTGCTAGGTTGTACGTTTTCGCTGTCAGCTTCATCAACATGGCAACCAAAATAAGAATTGAAATTTATGCATTTTTTTCCCTCCTCGTATATATATATTGGTGATAAATGTCTCTTGTGAAGTGGGCTTTGGGACTTTAAAGGGATGGGATCATATTAAGATGATAGAGATCAAGCAGACAACATTTTGTTTGATGAAATGCTAATGTGGAAACCGATAGCAGTCCAGATTAAGTTATAATTGATGTAATATATCTACAGCTAATTGAAAGACAAATAACATAGAATTAGAAGAGCTGAATTATGAGTTATTTATATAGGATTACATATGGCTTGAGATATGGACTTTAAGAAGACAAAATTAGAATATGATTCTAAATCTGTTATTCAATTAATTCAAAACCATTCAAGTGTTGATATAGGCAAAATTGATATTTTTTTTAATAAAATATTAAAAATTATATTAATGGTTAATGAAAATAATTAAAGTATATGTTACCATTTTCAAAACGTTAAAAATTTTATTATATTTTATTTAGTTAACAGGTTTTGACATTCAATGGATATTAGTACATAATTTTACAGCTTGTTGTTAAAAAAATCTATAATGTTTGGTTTTAAAAGCTTTGAATAGCTGCATTCATTTTCCAACCGGTTTTATTCCTAATAGCCTATATATGGGACATTTTCCTTATGTTATTTGTACTATAATAACAGAGAAAAAAAAACATACAGCAACATTTCGTATTGTCTTGTTTAGAGAAAAGGATAGCAGCATTCTTTTAGAAAGAAAAATATTTCTTTCAATTTTCTTGTTCTTTAATCTCCCACTATAAAGTCACATAATATTTATTTGTTTTATCTTTGGTAAGAGTGGTGTTAATATATTTAGAGTTTCAAGTCTTACAAATAATACAAATTTGTTAAGACATGACAATATAGCTGAGCTTGTTGCATCTCTAGAACAACGTATAATATCTTCTTGGTCCGTTGTACCAAATAAATTCTATAGACGATGCATATCGTCTCAAAAAAGTAATCTGGTTGTGCTTCAAGTCAATCACCTAAAAATTCTTATATAAAACTATGTTACTCGTTCAGTCATTTTTATATCATAAAATAAGATAACTTGATTTTAATCTCAAATTTCCTAAAGATCAAGGTAAAAAGTTCCAAGTATTTATCTATCTCATTTTACAATGAATTTATGTATATACTGTATGAATTTTTTTGGTTAATTATGTTCCTTGTTATGTGCTAGGAACAATAGGCATTGCTCACCTAGTTATAGCAATTTGATTACTCCTTCAATTACCTTAGTAAATACAAACTGCTCATGTATATATTTAGAGAAGTTAATCAATGTACGGATTGATCGACAAATCATGCTCTCCCCTTGATTCTTGGTTTTAGAAGATATATATGGGATCAGTTTCCTTCGGCTTTGTTCTAGCTAATTTGTTTTAGAATTTTTCTAAAAACTATCCTTTCAATTAAAAAGAAAAAAACATATAACATAACCAGTTATGGTTGTATGATAACTTAATGTGTTGATATCGATGATTATCATTTAAAATTTTTAATCTTCTTAGACATATAGATCATGCGAGAGACAACTCATGAAACCTTGCCTAAATCATCAATTAATATTGAAATTTCTTGCATCTTCTTTTATCCCAACATAAATTTATTTAGCACATGAAGAATAAATTTCATGATTAATATGTGTGCGTGTTAAGCATCGATATAGATTAATGTTATTAAGTTGGATTAATATTTCTTTATGATTTGGGGGT